ACAACTTAGTCAAAAGCAACAATGTGATTGCTAAACAAGGATGATCAATTCAATAAAAAAAAAACCTTCATAGCTGCAATTCTTCAAAAGGGCAGTAACAATATGGCGTGTTGAGTCATCATTCTCCACCAGAAGAACCTTAAGCGATCTAACCGGGAGATACCTCTCCCACTTAACAACAGGAGCTAGCGGTTGCTGTTGTTGTTGAGAAATCTGTATCAAATTGTTGGCATCATCTCCAGGAGTATCTTCAACTCGAAATTCATCTTCTTCGGATGAAACAAACACTTGCCTCTCGGTTTTCACTTCATCACCAGTTTCGTTGTTATTAAAACACATTTTTAGAAATCTAAAGAAAATGTCAAGACCAGCCTCCATGAACAAGATAGAATAGAAGCAGCATCAAATAACAGCTAAGATTCTGCAGAAACGTCCCCTCTACACTGACATAACACTTGCACATTTCTTCTTTCCCCAAACTTATTTTAATCCCTTCACCAAAACCTCAACCCAATAAGAAAAGAGAAACAAAAATAGCAACATTCCGTAAGAACATCACAGTCTCACACCAGAACAAAACAAAACAAAAACTGAATTTGGATAAATCCTCAAACTTTGCCCAAAGAAAAACTAAACAAGCCAAATCAAAGTTCAATAGTAGAGCACACTCAGCTTTAGGAAACAATCTGAATCTTGTTGTTTCTGAAATCAAAAGCTAGAATGTACCAATAGAAAATCATCACAGTACTTGGCAACGAGTTAAGAAAGTTTGAACACAGTCTCTTTTATTCCTTAGATCTAAGATCACAGTACTTGGCAACTTTCTCAAAGTTGTTATAAATTCCTCAGAACCCAGATACAAAATCAAACTCCAAGCTATGATACTTAATGAAATAAGCACAAAAACTGAAACAGCAGCAGATTGTCAAAGCGACAAAACAAACAAAAGCAAACCTTTGTAGCTTAATCCATAGATGAAGAACACCACCACCACCAGAATCTCTTACCATACCTGACTTTCAAAAAAACAAATTACAACGAAAAAAAGAACAGATGTTTTGCTTAGCAATTTAATCACCTACACTAAATGAAAGGTATCATCCAAAAATGTTTTGATTCGTATCTAACTTTTTCTCTTACCAACAACTTTACAGAATCCAATTGCTACTAAAATATGTAAAAAGAAAGAAATTTTAAATCAGAGGAAGAGAAGATTGAAAGAATTGGGACTTTTGGGGAGGTGGAACAAAAAAGGTCAGAGAAGATATTATTTTGGAGTTCGATGACGTGGCAAAACTAGCCTACGTGTCGTGTAGGACCCGATGATTTCACGTATCTCGAGATTGGTGACGTGGACAAAATCAAAAGCTTGGACTGGGAGGTTGGTTTAGAGGTAAACCGAATCTTAAGATTGTCAACGAGAATTCAGTTCTCGGTACGAAAACCGATTCCAGAGCGAAAAACATGATGAGAGATTTGGTATGATATGTATTGTTTTAATTTTGATGTTTATTGGTGTGGTATCACTGGTAGTGTGGTATGGCTAGACTTTTAGTAGACTAATAATTACAATTTCGGTTTGGTATTATCCCCTTTTTTATTTTTGTAGTTGCAGTTAGAGAATAATAATAATAAAGGCTCAATAATAAAGTAACGTCGAGCATAGCATGTCCAACGAAAGCCAACCATAAAGCCTAATAGCTGGTTCAATAATTTCTTGAAGTCACTATAAAGCCTAAAACTTTTTAGTTTTTACCCTCGATTTCAACCCCAAGAGGCCAACATAAGTGATGTTGAAATACAAAACTTAATAGTTTATTTATTTATAAAACCATTTAAACAAAAACTAATTAAGAATACCCTAAAATAACACTAACACAAGTTATATTAGATAAATTTTATTTTTACGTACTCGGTAACAATTTTCTTGAAAATTATAAAAGTTTACAATTGCGGTTTTATTTAAAATTTAAACAACCTAAAATATTAAAATCAGATATTTTGAAAAAGATACAGATTTTATTGTTAATAAAACTATCAGATGATTTGAATATTAGACATTTTGATTTATTTACAACCCAGGAGGATAAAAGCAGGAAAGGAAACCAAGATATAGATCCGGTTCTCTTCAACTCGACATTCCCGGTTTACTCCCTAAACCCAATGTGGACCAATTCGCAAAAAGTTTTAATACTGAAAACTGGGCCCGTGGATAATGGGCCGTAGGATCTATAAATAACCGATTCTTTGGGGAATTTGAAAACTCTTTCTTCCTCTTGTCTTTGGCGTTTCTTCCTCTTCTGGCTCTGGGTAAGATCAAACGATCTCGATTTTCTCGGAATCTTAGAATTTTCTCGGAATCTTAGAAATTTCTCGGAAGTATTAGGCTTAAGTATTAGTATATCCTCATCGTTATTTTGGTGATTCTTCTTCATTTTATTGTCAATTTGATGCATTATTTCGTGAAGTTTTACGGGGCGATTTCTTGATAATCGTTTTCTAATTTCTGAGTTGGCTAACAAATTATCTCTTCGATTTACTTGTAATTTTGCAATTATCGATGAATCTTGTGTTCTTCGTGTAACATCGTAGATACTGAGATCTGGTGGGAATCTTCAGGCGAAATGGGAAGATTATTCAAGATAGATCTCGAGGGATCGGTTTATAAATGCAAGCACTGCGAAGTTGAATTCGTTGTTTACGGAGATCCTCCAATCACAAGGGTTTGATTTACGCTTCTTGCTCAAAAACTTGTTTCTTTCGATTTCTTCTATGTCGAATTTGGTTTATTTGTTTCTTGATATTGGTGATGGTCATTGATGAATTCAGCAAGAATCAACATTTTTGTAGATAGTTGGTTTGTGTTATGTGCTCTTAGAAATCGAAACTAGTAGAATTTGACATTTCTCCACTGTTACTGAAAAATTGATCTGATAGAATTTCTGTGTTTTTTTCTGCAGAATCTGCTATTACAATATCCGCCTAGCCTTGGGAAACTATATTGCATCACCAAATGGTAAAATCATGCTTGGGATTTCATTCAAGGTTACTTTGTTACAGCTTGTGCTTTTACTAAAAACCCTTTTGGTGGCAGCTACAATGTGGTGATTGATGCTGATATAATGGAGTTCACTGTAAATGGAAGAGTTGACAAGTCTATGCGTCCAGTGTTCTGTATCGGTTGTGGCTCTCATGTCGGCATGTACTATGTATAAAAGAAGACTCT